ATAGCTGGGGATTATGAGTAGTGTAGTGTCTTCTGCCATCCTAAACTCCTCGAGGCCTACGTCTGTTTCCGGTTATTTTTATTTTGAAATTCAGTTCCTGACGGACGTAAAAAAATCACGAGATTATGGAAATAAACCAATAAATAAAAACAAGGATAATTATGTGTTATTGTTGAGTAAATAAAAGTGTGTTATTTTGAAAAGAATAACAAATTAGAAGGAAAAAAAGATACCGATTTCAGTATCCTGAGGCTCTCAGCCCCATTTATTTTCCTCACAGACGGCAACAAAAGTCAGAAATTATACGATTTAAAATAAAAGCAATAATTGTGGCTTGATATTGAGTAAGAACATGTTTTTATGAACCACACAGCTTCCGGTATTCCTATAACACGTAATGCCGTGAGACTACCAATATAAATACATTGCTTTTAAAATCGTGCTGTGCAACACGAAAAAAATGGGAAAATCGTGTTGGTGAACACGAATCAATAGATTAAAAATCGTGTTGGTGAACACGAAATGCCATGAGACTGGGTTGGATGACATCACCATGCTTTTATAACACAAGGCCTCAAACTCAATGTGTTTTGGAACAATAACTTTCTTTAAATTACAAAAAAGCAGGTGACTTTAGATGCAACTTGAATAATTCATACAGTAAAGTCATGTCAATACATGCATGTATTAACAACCATTTACAGTAAATAATTAAATTACAAATATTAAACAACCACTGTGAAAACACAGCTCATTAATGTGCGTGAAGTACTAAACATGTTTTATTGGTTGATTTGAATTTAAATATAAATCAAACCAAAAACACCTTTACTAGCTGTCGGTGAACCCCTGAAACAATCACCATATCCAAAATCCTCCACAAGCTATTAAGAGGAATCCAGTGCAGGATCTTGAAACTTGTGTGATCAAATGTTCTCTTCCCAGGCAACAATCAGCAGCATGAATACATCAGTCCCACAAAGAGGAAGGTTTCTAACTGACTGGGACAGCAGGCTCCTTTCTTTGGATATTTTTTAAGTGCTAAAGGTTGTGTTGCAAGTATTGCTCTGGAATAAAAGAAGGAAAGACAAATACTTGCTGCGATTACCCTGTAGCAGCTAAGACACATTTTAAGTGTAGAGACCTATGAGAAATGCTATGTTGATAGGAATGCCTGTGACAGCTGATCGCAGGTGGAGCACTACTTTGCAAGATTTTCAGTATAAGTGGAACAAATATTGAATTTAATACAGGTGCACTCAACAGATGGGGTGAAGACAAACTACAACGTACCTGGTAGGGGGTGGTGCTATTGGGTAGGTCCACACTAGCGATGAGCCAGCTGTCAGAGGCTTGGTTGGCAGTCCACATCCGGTAGTCAAAGTTATCCCCATCTGGTCTGAGGAAGAGCTGCAGGGACCCCCCACCGGTGATCTGGTACACCAGCCTCACACAGCTCCAGTACTGATGGTCCAGAACTGGACTGACCAGGACCGCCTGCTGCTGCTCCTTCAGGAGGGCGGAGTCCACGGTGATCACATGACCTGTGACCACAACACCAACATACATTACATTTAGCTGAGGCTTTTATTCAAAGTGAATTCCAGAGGAGTCAACCATGAAGACACATTAGCTCCTGAAAACACTGAAACGTTGATTTAATTAAATGCATTAGATTTCACATAAGTGTATTAGGTTAGTTGAAATATTAGGTTGAACTCAATATAATTGCTTTCAACTAACCTGATACAGTTACCCGAAATGTGTTGACAATACATTTAATTAAAGTCAACATTTCAGGGTTTTTTAGCGTATGGATAAGCCAAAAAAAAGTACTACTGAATCTCCTTCATAGTAAGTCCAAACTGTCTTATTGGTACGTACAGAAGTGAGATATTTCTTTTATTGGCCAAGTTGCAGTTGCAATTTGCTGTTCTGATGTAAATGGGGAGCTTGTTCCTTAAAAAAAGGACCCAGCTGTATGTGGTGGGGCACCAACATGCAAAAACTATTATAGTATGGAGCCTATATATTATATTTATATATATCGTTCTTCACTGTATCGTGTACTCTCTAGTTTAAGGCCACCCTAGAACCCTTCATCAAATGTTCTCAACTAAAACGTTTACTTACTGGGACCTTTTTTGTCGGGAGCATCCAACAGGGCACTTTAACTGCCGTTCAGTTTTTTTCCCAAACAATGTGGCACCAACAAATCAGCTTGGCAGACTTGTTGTTGGATTCAAAACCCTGATTGCAAAGTTGTTGCTATGGGAATTATAATATGTATAAAATGAAATATGAACTCAAACTGAATGGACAAGTATCCTAAAGGCATATAGATGTAGATATTTACACAGGAAGCATTGGAAGACATGGAGGGAGTTTAAGGCAGTGCTGTAATAGTCAGGATGAAACCTGGAGCTTCAGAGTGCAACATTGCAGACCATTCAGCTTTGGATATGTGTTTTTGTTGTTGGCTATATTTAAAATGAAAAGAGACAATAATGTATTTCCTGAAGCAAATAGTTGTGAACGGAACAAGAAAAAGCATTTCTATCTCCCCTTTATCTAACAGCTGAGAGTATTTGCACCCATTTGCACATGTTTGAGTGAGCATTGAGGCAATTTAGTGAACATAAACAGAGTTTATGGAGAGCTGGCTAAAGTGCCATCACTTCTAAATGTGGTGGGGAGGGGAGACGGGGGATTAACGGTTGTATCTGTGATCCCTTATTTGGTCAAATGAAGAGAATCCTCCTGGCAGAAGAAGTCTTTGAGCAGAGAGATACCCAGTAGCCGACAAATGTAGCAATGCATGCAGGAAATACATGGCTGAAGGCTAAAGGAACTTACTACTTAGAATGATAAACATCATGAGACACAATGCAGGTTGACAGTTTAGGAATAATGCTTTACTGAGGTTTTTTTTACATTTTTCTTTTACATTTTTTTTGTTCTTCTTGTGTGTTAGTCATCCACACCCATCAGAAGTGCTGTGCTCCACATGTACCAGACTACTATTTTGAAAAACTAGTCGACTAGTAAATATTGGTAGTTGTGAAACCCCTAGGTGATAGACAGATTGATCCAATCACCTGCCAAGTATATTTGAAAGTGCCTGCCCTTTCCAAATGGCTTCCAATGGAGCTTTCCTAGATGGTTTGGGTCAGATTAGTAATCCTCCATCACATGTTTTACATCTATTACAGGGTGAATCTTAAACTGAAGCTTGACATTAAAGCAACCCAACGGAAGTTTCATGTAAGTTTAGCTCTTTCACTCGTAGCTCGGGCTGCGGGGGTGCTAGAGACGGGACCATGTTGATACGACCTTCCTAGGTGGAGATATGGCCGCATCTTACTATAAACTTCCGTTGGGTCGCTTAAAAAAAAATACCGCAAATCGAATCGCAATCGCAATATTTGTCAGAACAATCGCAATTACATTATTTCCCCAAATTGTGCAGCCCTATTCAGTTACACATATCTGGGGCCCATTTAGTACCTTCTGAATGGCTTCAAAGTATGGGACAAAGAGGTCCGTGTCGTAGTTGGACATCTTGTTCTGCAGCACAGAAACCAGGCGCTCCAGGCCCATCCCGGTGTCGATGCTCTTCTTCGGCAGGGGCTTCAGCTCGGTCTCTGACTCTCTTAGCAAGGTCGGAAGAGAAACAATCATTACAAACACAGACTCACTGATCAGTATGGACTTTGGAAGAAGAAGCATAATATTGTGGTAGAGCACACAGGCTTTTCTTTGAGTATCTAACAATTTTGTTTAGTTCAATTACATTTTGGATTATTTTGGATACAAGCGATTACTGTCTATTTTATTGGCTTTACACAGCCAAGTAATCAGATTTCCTCAGCAGAAACGTTCTGATGTCATTTATTTGGACAGCAATAACACATAGCAACAACTGTAGAGGTGTGCAGAAATATTTGATTCAGTAGCTGCACAGCATACTGTCCAAAGCAGATGACAATAAAAAGGCGTGTCCAAATTCCAAAAGCACCTAACCTTGGTTAATGGTTAGGTTTATGTTTAGCTTGTGATCAGTTCAATGATCTTTATATAACTCACTGAACTGGTTACAAGCCTTGTAAAGCCACACAGAGCAATGATGTGCTAGTGTGAAGGTGTAAACAGCCACAGAGGTGTGTGTGAGTGTGTGTGTTACCTGTTGAACTGGATGAACACCAGGTTCCAGATTTCCAGGACGTTGGGATCGTCCATGTTCACCAGGTGAGAGGCGTCCCTCCCCCCGATGCGGTCGTAGTGCATCTCGCTGCAGGGGCCGCAGGGGCCCGTGTCTCCCATCTCCCAGAAGTTATCCTTCATACTGCCGGGCAGGATGCGAGCCTCCTCCATCCTGAGAGAGAAAACAGAGAGCAGAGAGGGAGGATTTCATGAACCTCACTGTTTAAGTTCAAACTAAGATAATTAGGAAATATTTGCAAAGTGTAAAAGCCACCCCTCTTTCACCCTGTCTTTTTTATCCTGCCGGTGCTTTTTCTGTGGTTGAACCATTGAATAGTCATGCATGATACTTATAGGAAGAGAACATATATTAGCGATACAAAGATATGTATTTACCTCAGTTATGTGCACTAGTTTTATTTCAGCTCATTGCGAGTGTTAGATATTTTTTAATTTACTGTCCCTATTTCTCTCCTCTCCATTACCAATGTTATCACAGCCACAAATAAAATCATTTAAAACTAAAATCAGCCTATAACAATCCATCAGCACCCTGGGGCAATATTCAAATTGTGTCCTTCCAAAATAAAGAAATTGAAAGAAACAAAGCAAAGCCACTGCGTGAAATCATCTTTGAGTGGTTATATATCATAGACTTGACGAGCAATGCGTATCATCATCATAGGAAGTATAATGGGTAAGGTAAGAAACATTTTTATCCTAAAGATCTGCATAATTACCATAATTTTCGGACTATAAGCCGCGCCTTTTTTCCCATTTTTCGACGCTGCGGCTTATATAACGGTGCGGCTAATCTATGGATTTTTACAGCTAACTAGGGGACCTCCTAAATCTATGGATTTTACAGGTTACAGTCCACCACTTTTAACTCTATGGGCTCTATGGCCGGTCCGCGCCCCCCACCTTTAAGCGGCGGGCTCCAGCAGGAAAAGCTGGAGGCCGGAAAAGAGTGAGACAGGTAGCGCACAAAAGTAAAAGTGGAACCGAGAGTGGTACGAGAGACAGAACGAGAGCAAGACAGACAGACGTTACGAGAGCGAGACAGTTTGTCCCCGTACCACTGGTTGAAAACCGCCGCTGTAGATCACTGCCGGTACGTGCGCTGGGAGCGCACCGTTTAAGTTTGAAAGTTGAAAAGTTTGTGTGTCTGAAACGCTATGTGATACAGTACAGTTTACACAGCACAGTCCATGTTCTNGTTTAGTGTTGAAAGTTGGAAAAGTTTGTTGTGTCTGAAAGCGCTATGTGATACAGTACAGTGTTACCACAGCACAGTCCATTGGTTCTGTAGCTACTATTTCACTAAATGGTGACACGTTGAATACGCGTTATGCAAATATGCAACTTGTTTGTTGAAATGTTAATAAATGGGAGCTTCCTCAAACAGCCATCTCTTTCCCGACAATCCCCTCTGTGCACGAACCCTTACATATGGTAATTAAACATGTTGAATTTGGTGGGATATTAAAAGAATCAATGGTGAGATATGATTTGAAACAGGGAGGAGGAGAAATGGAGAGAGAGACAATATTTTAGGCGTTTGTTGTTGGCATTGAGGAGGTTTGTTGGGACTGGGGGAGGAGAGGAAAAACAGTTCCCCTAGGACAAATCACACAGCATCATGCAATAGCATTAAACAGAAGCAGATAAACGGAGCATTTTTGCAACATTCATGCAGAGATACAAAACAGGATCTGTAAAATAAACGGTAGTGTATTGTAGGAGAGAAATTAAGCATTACATGTGATAATGAGGATAACAAATAAGTAATGATTAAAAGAGGATACTAGGGCTGCTCAATTAATCGTATTTTAATCACAATTACGATTATGGCTTGCAACGATTACGAAAACAACGTAATCTAAATAAAACAATTATTTTTAAAATTAATTATTATTACTTTTTTATTTTTTTTTATTGGTTATTCAGTTGAATTATACTTAAAGTTCAGTATAATGAACTGTTAAAAACGTACTGTTCAAAAAAGATTTCTCCAATAAATTGATATTTTCAAAGTAAATAGATAATCGTTTTTAATAACCGTGATATCTATTTTTTACCCAAATAATCGAGATTATGATTTTTGCCATAATCGAGCAGCCCTAGAGGATACCCAAAATCAAACAACTTCACAAATACATGTCTCACCCTAGGTCGATCCAGATCTGTTTGCACTCCAGGTCGGGCTCCAGGCCTGCTGCAGCGTCCCCCCCGAAGTAGGTGACATACAGACGTTCAATTGGAATACCAAACTCCTTGGTCAGAAGCTCCAATGCCATCTTACAGGCCAGGTGCTGCAGGGAAGATACAGGGAGAAAACAAGACAGAAGCGTTAGAGGACTCCACATGAAACATCTTTGCCAAATAGGTGCAGGAAAAGGGGGGTGGAGCAAAATGATTAAGGTAAGCTAATCACTTTATCTAAATGTCAAAATGAAGGGCACTGCAGTAGATTAAGTTGCAAGTAGGGCCGAAACCAACAAGTCTGCCAGTCAATATGAGCTTATTACAGATATAATGGGGCAAGACATTTCAGTACAGAAACTAAACGGTAAATTGTCACACAGATCTTTTGATCAATTGGCCTCCAAAATCTGTCGTTGTGATGGTATGAAGGTATGACAGCGTAGTACCTTAAAGTAGTCCCCAAAAGACCAGGACCCCAGCATCTCGAAGAAGGTATGATGGTAGACATCTTTACCCACATCGTCCAAGTCGTTGTGTTTACCTCCTGCGCGGATACACTTCTGGGTGTTGGCGGCACGACGTAGCTTGGCCATAGGGTGGGAGGGATCGATGGTGTTGAGGAAGATTGGCTTGTACTAAAAAGAAGGGGTACAAAAAATGTAAAAGAGTGAAGAGGTATAATAGAGACACCATGAAGTGAAGTGGAGTGATGGGGAGAAGTATGGGTAGTATACCTGGTTCATGCCTGCATTGGCGAAGAGCAGCGTGGGGTCGTCCAGAGGGATGACGGAGGACGAGTGGACATACGTGTGCTCATAGCCGCGGAAGAAGTCGATGAACTTCTCGCGGATTTGAGCTGCATTCAAAGTAGAGTCCATTCTGAATCAGCTGTCTAAACATAAAAAAGACAATCAGTAGAGTTATCATCAAGCATGTTCAAAAGGCACTCCCAGGGGTCGCAGCAACATGTTTACTTGAGCTCCATCTCCAATTAAATCTTTCTGGCTCCCTGAACGTGTTCTAGTGACACCATGACATTTTGTATGGAGATTTCTAGTACAGCTTACAGCAGGACAGTAACTGGTCTAACCTGCCGACAGCAGGTGGGCTTATTTATAAGGTTACATAAAATGGTTTGTTTTACTAAGTAATGATTATTTTAAGCCATTATTGTAATTATAATTTTTTCACAGAACAATAACTGATTCACTGATAGAAGACGTTGGCTCTAATGGCCCACCCATTTTGGAATGATGCAACTCCTTAGTTGCATCATGCATTGTCCGCATGTTGGTGTTGATGTGGCTGCTCTTTCTAAAAGTCAGTTGAAGGAAAATCCTTCCATCTCAATTGAAACCGAAAAGCTCAAAAGGCCTGCAGAAAGCACTTATCCCAAGGGCAGTTTCTCTCTGCACTTTAGCCGTGTGTGAGTGTGACAAGTTTGCACTGGCTAAATCCAATCTGTTGGTTATATGTTGTCTGCAGACCACAGACCAGGGAGGTTAAAGACCTGTCCAACCAGTCACGCCCAACAACAGCTGTTTTTGTTGTTCTCATCATTTGTGGAGAACCCTGTTGAACTCCTCCGCTGTTATGTTGTCGAAAACTAACTGTAGTTGAGTTTATTTATTTTCTTGGGAAATGTGCGATCCTTACACAAGGGATATACCAAGGTTAACAGCAACACAACACAACAGCTAGTCTCACTTTTAGTTTAATAAATATTTAATTTCACAGTGAGTTAGATGGCTCTGGTTTTAGGGCAACGACAACAGTTAGACCACCTTAGCCCTTGCGGCAGGTAAGTTATCTTCTCCATGGCAGGGATATGAATCAAGAAACAGTTTGAAATGTTCTGCTCCTTTCAAATGATATCCCTCAGAGGTTATATATTTATTTTATTGAAGCAGACATGTTCCCATAAGTGACGTCACACTTTTGGTACACTCCTGAGGCCTTTACTACGAAGCCGGTTCAACCTAACCTGGATATGTTTGAGTTACCCGGCTTACCTAATCCAAAACAAACGTGCTCTCGCTGAACCGTCCTACG